AAAAAAAATCAATGCTTGCGATGAACTTTTTGTTTTCACATTGCGCACAGATCATTTCTCCGTTCCTCTAAGTATAGTTGGTCTGATAATATCTCCGCTTTTTACGCGTAATTATAGCCTGCCGGCAAAGAGAATTGAAAATCAATTTTTGCAATGCTCATTGAACTGTGCACCGATTGATCGACAAAACGCATTTCTTCCCATTTCATTCGGATAATGAGCCCCGCTTAGACGACAATCGAAATGAAATTTTTAGAACGATCCGATTTTCGCAGTTGGCCTTAATTATCGCGATCAAAGCCACGGATATATGGTATATACACCAGATACGAATTTTTCTCATCGATCAAATTCGAATTTCGACGCGTCAAACATCGTTTCGTCACTCTTAAGGATCGAACAGCAGCTTTTTGATTTTGCGTAATCTTCTTCTCTTCGTTGCAACTTGAAGCTAAGTTCGATCTTAATTTCGAGAGAAAATTATCGATTTCGACGGTTGGATTAAAATAAGATTCGTTTAATAAATGTAACGTTTAATGGAAAAGAAAGAAGAAGACATTTCATTTAATAAACGTCTTTATCGTTTTACGAACTAATAAATTTTTTCTTTTTGCGTCGTTTAAAGTTAAGGTAATAATAATTTAATATTTTATTAAACGTTTGATTGAGAAAAAAGATATTTCGAAATGATGGGAAAAATTATTTAACGTTAATTTAAAATTTTTCGAAAATCGAGTTTTTATTGTCCGATTTAAAATTTGAAAAAAGATAGAAAAAAGAATTCGTGAAATTTGTGAATTTCCGTCGAATCGGGCGAAGACGAGCGTTTGTGACGTTTCCACTTATATGTGTATATACATGTATAGATCGAATGACGTTTTGCTTCTTAATTACACTTTGTTTCTTTCTTTCTTAAAGTGGCACTGTGGACGAGAACTTTTTCAACTTCTGCTACAATTTTCTCAGCCTCTAATTAGCGTTTGTCGGCCGGATAATTATATAACTTAACAAGGTTTAGATAATTTGTGTCATTTGTCGATATCGTAACACGAAAGCGATCAATTGTATTCTTATATTATGATACAATTCTAATTTTACTTAATTCAAACATCGTGTTATCCTAATTATTATTATTTCATAATAACACGTCGTCGACGAATGATTTCGAGGTTAAAAAAAGAAAAATCGAAGAATCAAACCGACATTCGTATTTTTTTAGTTCATTAACGTTGTAATTTATAAGTAGGTGAATTAAAATAGGGCGGCGATTCACTTATTAAGCTTGTCCCGGATAAAACAGTTTCGACCCCTTCTTTACCGACATCCGTTGCTTAAGATATGAAACTCGTGGCACGCGAAATTTTCGTTTCGTTCAAGCTTATTTTTCTGTATACGTGAATAAGGGATAAAGAAGTTTTAGAATCGTTTAAGACGAGCGAAAATCGGTGAAAATGAAGGATCGAAGCGTTTTCCTTTTTTTTTTTTTTTTTTTCCCTCCTCTTTCACGTTTCGTGTGATTGCAGGTTACCTCTTATTCAAAGACTACTGCGAGAATGTGGCGGAGGAGCCGATTCCGCAACTTAGGTTTTACGAAGAGGTTCGTGTTAGCCCGCACACACACACACTATTTAAGTTCCAGTAGCGTGGTGGCACGCACCTCGCCATCCAACTCCATAAGGAATTTCTCATTTATGCATTGTAGATCAAGGCGTACGAGAAACTCGAATGCCCGGAAGAGAGGAGAAAACTTGCCAAAGAGATCTACGACAATTTCATCATGAAGGAGCTGCTGGCACACTCCCATGTGAGTATATAAAAACATCTGCTTCGTTGCCTCTCGTCGCGGCTTCCTCTCCTTTCTCCGGTTTCTCTTCCAAATTATTTGATTATCCGATAATCGCAGTTTCGATCGAGTCAGTTAGTCGGTTTGCCTTCGAACAATTTACAATTTCATGGAAGGAAAATCCTTTTATCGGGTAATACCTATAAACGCGTAGAATTTTATTTCTACTATATGGATACGTGAATCGAGTGAAAATCAATCGATATAGCGTTGTATAAGCGTAAATGTAACGATTGTGTAAAAATAATCACGTACAAAATATTTCTTCATGCTTGAAAAATATGAAATATTTCTTTAAGAATTTGTCAACGAATCGGCAGAAGAATTAGCAATTACTTTTCTAAATGTGGAATATCACCTTGAAACGCCCGTCATCTTTTCAAACTCGTGCGCGCACGTGTGTGTTGTGTATAAAAAACTGTTGATATAAAAAAGAGAAATAAAGGAAGAAGAAGAAGAAGAGAAGAAAGAAGAAGAAAGAAGAAGAAGAAGAAGAAGAAGAAAAGGAAGAGTAAAGTTGAAAAAGTGACGCTTTTTATCTTTGAACCGGTGAAAGAGGAAAGGAAAATCGCTTTCCGAAACGATGAAAAAGAAAACCGCGCGTAAAAGCAGGAAGCGTTTTTCTCGTTTCCTTAGGTCGGCTCGCATGAATGTTTGAACGAGAATTTCGAATAGGTCTTTTCATGGCGCAGCAGGGCTTCTAATCTCTGGCCCTCGATGTCTTCGGAAGAGAAACTATTTCCGTGCCTTTTTTCACGCTACTTTTCCCCCCGTTGCTTTGCCCCTAATTTTAACCTCGCCTTTAATCGTGCTTACAATTTTTCCCTTCGACACCCCTTCGACACCATCTTCTTTGTTAACGCGACAATTTTTTTTCTATTGACACGGTCAATTTGCCAACGACAAATGTGCAACAGCGTGACAAAAATTTCCAACCTTCCATCGCCCGAATTCTCTCTATGTATATATACACACATATACTTACCGACCGATACACCAATGGAAATAATGGTTACTCGGTTTAAGAATGCTTGTCTAGTACTTTTATTAAGACGACTAGTCTATTCAAACTTTTTGCGCAAAAATTTTGATTCGTATAACAACATTGGATTATCAATGCCAATATTGTTGTAATTAAATGTTGTGTTCAAATTTTTTATATTTTTTTTTTATCTCTCATGAAATTTGAAAAATGATTTATTATGGTTAACGGTCATCTTTAAATGATTTTAATTCGAGTGCGCGTGGAAATTTTATCGCAGTTTCAATTATGAAAGCGATAAAACGATATTTCGGATGAAATACTTATTTCTTCATCGCGGCTCGAGCATTGTTTACGTAACATTAACGA